TTCATTTATTAAACTCTTTATCTCAACCCCCAAATTTTTCTTGCTTTGGATCTTCTGGTTCTTTCCCCCATCCTGCTAGACAGGAAGAGTAAGGGAGCAACTGAATCGACACTTAGTTGCTGACTGAGGTCAACCCGTCAACCCACCACAACCACCCTTCAAGAAAGATGTGCAGTAAATCAAGGTGAGATATATAAGAACTCACGTATGTCCAGAAATATGAACTATATGCAAAACTTCAAAAGACTTAAGTCTTTAAAGCAGCGAAGACTGAAAAACTTATTGCAGCAAAGAAGATTCCTGCTAGGTAGCTGAGGGGAAAGATGACAACAAAACAAATACCAAAGCACAGCACTAAAAAGAAGAGCTTGTGAAACATTAGAGGACTTTAGAACAGATTAAATTGACATCTGCCAAGGATACCAATAGCTTGGCTTGCTTTGGACTAGCAAATCTATTCCAGTCTTACTTTTTAGATTTCAGGGCAGACAGAAGGACCTATTTCTCTGATCAAATATTAACACCCCCCCCCCCCAAATAAATTAATTACTAGAGTCTTAACAATATAATTAGTGGTATGCAATCAGATACAATGTAGACATTGTCCTTCTCTCAATATAAATTCAAGAGTAGTTAATTCAAGTTAAGGAATCAAAAACCTAGAGGAATAGTATCTGTACAAATAACAAAGTGCAATTCAAAATAACTGTTTTACTAAAATACTAGTGTTCAGCAAAGTTACCTCCTCTACATTTGAAGCAGTTTTGGCAGAGGTCTCCATAAAGATAAGTCCGTGCTCTCGTGCAAATGCTTCACCTTCCTCTTTCTTGACTTCTCGTCTAGATTCTAAATCACTAAGATGGAAAAAAAAAAAGTTAGTTGCATGGTCAAACCTGTTCATGTAAATATTGTTCTTCAGAGACATGCTCAGAAGCCAAAAATCCCCATTAGAACTTACACACCTATGAATAACTATTCAAGTCTTTACGCAGAGTAGAATTATTGTAAGTCTTGCACTTATAGTACATGGAATAGCCACCGACTCACGCTTAGCTCATGCCTCCTTGAGCTATTAATCCTAGCTGACATAGATCTTCGCAAAGACTCCATGAAATGGCTTTCAGCAGTATGTGTGTATATTTATCTAGCTATTCATTGAAAGCCAACTTTAGACATTGTCATTTTAGGTAAATATCACTCTTTTCTAGTATATGTTATCTACCAATCCACACTGTAAAGCTGAACTGATAAGCGAGTTCTAGACATGATTTCTTAATCATATTAAAAATAATTTTAAAAACAAAGTTCATTTTTCCTATCCAGTAACAAAAATTCACACAGTCAATTTCTGTTCTAATAAAAAGATTTAAAAGTGAAAATAAGTTATTTTGAATGACATCAGCTGTTCTCTCCCAACAAGCTAGCATTTAGGTTTTGGAACTCCACGCCTGGCCCTCTAACACAGAAGAATTTGAAGTGACTGCTACACAATTTCTTGTTTCCTGCTTTCCAAGCAGTTTAGATGAAAGTTAAATATTACACAAAAGAACTCCAAACCCCACCCTCTTGGACTGGACAACTCAAAATCAGCGTCAGTAAGTCATATAGACACAAGTATTTCACTCTTAATTTTTAAAGCTTCTTTAGGAACAAGGAGTACACAGTTTGTCCTTCTTTGTAAGTATAGTACGGCCTGAGCAATAACAACGCTATTTACAGATAAATAATAAATAACATATTTAAATAAAGTTTCATTTAAGGTAAGTACATAAAAATATCTTGTCAGATACACATTTTTAAACTAAACAGCATGCAAATACAGAGGTTTAATTTGCACCAGAATACCAGCAAAAAGTATCATACTGGGCTTCAGTGCTGCCATCCTTGTAATTATACATATATTAAAAACAATACTCACTGTGGCATCTATTTTGCAGCAAAGCAGGTTTTTGTTATTTTTTACAACTACAATTCAGCACATCATTTAAACATGGAGCATTTGAAGATAAAAAGGGTACAAGAAATGTCATCTCAAAACAATTTTAAAGTTGATGTTCATTAAATGTAAGCGTTCCCAGTACCTCAGCCGCAGGCTTAATATATCTTAACAAGGTGTTCATTCTCATGTCCCTGAAGTAGCTATCTGAGATTGTATTTTTGAACTTGAGCAACGTCTTTGTTTGCTATTACCATGCTACCCTCAAGAATATCTTGTTTAAAACCTTGATCCACTACAGTGTTATCTCCATGATAGAACAGAAATAAACAACTCTTGACTTGAAATAGCGCAGCTGCATCAAGAACTGCAGTGATAACCCAGTCAAAACTCACTATTGATATCTAAACATATTCTTAAAGAGTTTTAACTGCTTCTACTAACCACAGTTGTCTTCCTCTCTCCATTCCAATAAGTTGAAGCATTTGGTCTTACTAGATCAATATAGCTATGTTTTGTTCTGGAAAGAAGATTAAGTACAGTATTTGTCATGTTTTAAAACTAGTATTTGTAATGTTTTCCAAAAACAGCTATTATATTTCAGATTACATTCTCAACACTCTTCTGATCCAACAATAAGTCAGTACTACAAATGTATATCAAATGCACTTTGGGGACTCATAAAAACAAAATTTATTCCTTCAAAAAATAATACACTAGTATACACATTCTTCCTCCCATCCATCTCTAGTAGTATGCCCTACCATAAGAACTCCTGTATCACACTTTCAGGATAATGCAATATAAGTGAAGGAGTTTTCTTCCCATCCTCCTCTGAGGCTTGAAAATAATCTCCTTTAAAAAGCTTCTTAAAGAACTTTTACTTCACGTGGCACCTTAATCTGTAACTTAAAATACATAATTTATGTATATTTATTGTTTGAATAAAACCTAGTTGTAACTGGGAATTACTAAGCGAGCTGCAAGCAGCGTATTGTACCAGATGGTCACGTGGTATAGTTTGCATCAGCAGAATACAAGACAAAAATTTAGTTTAGCAGCTAAGAACAATCAGGAATAGTTACAGATGTCAACTAAATATGCAAACTTATGTAATACTTATCTCAAGTAAACAGTACACTTTACTGTTTCTCTCAGTGCCATACTTTTACTCACATAAGCATAAAAACAGTTGGTGAGGGACATCGTGGGCTTACCAAAGCTTCATTTAGTAAGAGATTACATTTTTATATTAATTTGTGAAGACTATGCTTACCACATTCCTCAATTAAAAAGAACATTGTTAGTCATTTTCCAGATTATGTATAAAAATGTGGACAAGCTTCATAATTACTTAATGCTAACCATGTTTTTCAGGGAGATGTAGAGGGTTGGGGGCAGAGGGAGGAAAGGGAGGAAAGGGTGAAAAAGGAGGAAGAAGAAGAAAATAAGAGGTGAACAGGCCAGAGCAGCAAAACCAGACTCTCTTTACCACAAGGCTGTTTCCCAGTCGTATCTAAAAAAAAACAGCCTGGCTGTTCATTAAATTTTAAGGGACAAGCATACACACCATTATTTCAACTGGCATTTTTACCTTCAAGAATTGCTGAGGCATGGAGACAAGTTAAGGTCAATTAGGCAAAGGCCCATAACTAATGGGTTATTAAATTCTAAGATGTTGCTTTTGATATTTAGAAAAACCCTACATCCAGAAAAAAATAATCTAGACATGATGCTACAGTTCACTGGATCAAGAACTAGAAAAATTACAGATCAACTTAATGTATTCACTGATGGGTTTTTATGAAGTCCTTCAATACAGATCAAAAGTCTCAGCATCAATAGGGAACCATCTTAGAACTTTGGACAGTTTAGCTGATGAGAAGACCAAGTAAATAATCGTTTATAAATTGGGTAATACACTTCCAAAACTTTTAGTTGTATTTTCATCAGCCAGTGTCTAAGAGCAGCCTGAATTCACCAGAAAATTATGATAAAGCATTCTCTGCCCCCAACCCCAGCTAAAACATGCAGAATATGAAACAGGCTTAGAATTCAGAAATGTCTCATATTGAGGTATGCACTTCTTATTTTTGAAAACATTTTTTGAAGTGAATTCTGTAATCCTGTAGTATGGGCTTTTTTTTTTTTTTAATGGCATTTTCTCTGCTGTGATTCTTAACCAAATACTAAAGCACTTTAGAACACCTAAAATTAGGAGCCACATTCTCTTTATAAGGGAGAGATCTAGGTGCTTCTAAATGGTGATTCCAGATGTAAAAAAGTAATGAGAAAAATAATTCATATAATTCATGACTTCATGCATACAGTCAATCCTTTTAAAAGAATTACTTCTAAAAATGGTACTCAGAATATAAGGGAGTTGATCCACACGTGCTGCACATTGTATTAGTCCAATTAGAAAAGGTAAGGTTTTAGATTCACCATAGAACTATGTCCAGTGACTGAAAGTAATTTAAAGCTAACAGACTGCCTACAAAAGAAAACACAAAAGCTGAATCCAGAGAAATCAGAAATCTTTAGCCAGTTATGATTTTGTAAGCGGTAAATTTACCTTTTATTTCCAATAAGCATTATAACCATGTTGGAATTGGAATGCTGACGAGCATCTTCTAACCAAGTTGTCAAGTGGTTGAAAGTGTCCCTCCTAAGTATGGAAGAGAATGAAAATTAAAAGTAGTATTTCAAGAAATCTTTTTTCCCTTCTGTTAAGTCAGCTTCTCTACTTGAGTTACCAACTCATTTATTAGTACACATGCTCCAGGGATAAAAGCTAGTAATCCCTTTGTGAGAGGGAGAATCGGCGAACAAAAATTTAGTAAACAAAGAGCATTAATGAACTCTGCCTAAAAAGTAATTGAAAACATGTTTGCTACAAAGAGTAAAGAGGATTCTCATAGCTGTAATAATCTGTATTTTTATACACATATAAAAATCTGCTGAATGGAATTTTAAAACTCCCTAACATCCTCAACCAATTCAAACAACAGTACAAATAATCACACACTCATATAGTTGTATTTGTTCTAGTGAAGGCAGAAAATGGTTTACTATTTTCTGTGAGTTTACAAACTGAATAATGAATTTAGCAGCAGCCTTTTAAAAGTAAGGTACATGAATATGGCATATTACAGATTTTACAGAATATGTACCCTAAATATTAAATCACATGCTTGTAAAGTGTGTTTAAGATTTCACAAGAGTAAAACCATTTATTTATGAAACAAAGATTCATTTTTTGGAAATACAATGGAAAGAAAATGTTGCTTCCTGATATTAAAAAAAAAGGGGGGGGGGGGAACAAAGAAAAATGTCTAGGAAATCTCTAGTAGAAGCTGTTACTCAGTTCAGCAACAATACTCAAGATCCTCAAAGGGAGCCACACACCCTAACAGGATCTTGGAGCCTGAACATTTTTCCTAAACCAGCCACAGTACCCACAGTTTTGCAGATAAGTTGTATAGAGACTTCATTCAATACAGCAGGAAAACCTTAGTCACTTCTAAACAGCTGCTACAAAAATCACACTAAGACCTGTATTTTCCCAGCCTCATAAACACAGCAACGGTAGAAGTTTCCCAGTATTTTTATGTAACCAAACTTTGATGTTTTACTATTTCACTCCTTTGCAGAATGGCACTTCAGTATCTTGTGTGCTATAATTAAAGAAAAATTATAGCTCGTGGTAATAAAAACACTAGAAATTCTTGAAAAAGACCTTAAAATATTTTAATGTAAGGTAATCCAGAGGTTCAAGGTCAAATAGTTTATAAAAATATTTTCTTTCATTCTTCCCAAGACTTTATGTATACTTTTTCTCAACCATTATACAGAGAAAATTGGAAGTATGTAAGTTACATATACTTAATTTTGAGCACGAGGTTACAAATATCTATATAAAAAGCCAAACTAAACTAGACATTTTAACCCTGCTATATACCATAGCACAATTCTACAAAGACACATAATTTTAATCCAGTTGTATATCCTCAGTATTCTCACCTTGTAATGTCATACACTAGTAAAGCCCCTGCTGCTCCTCTGTAGTATGACCTTGTAATGGAACGGAAGGACTCCTGCCCTGCCTGTAGAAGACAAAGTTTCATTATTTCATATCTCAAATTTATTTTTTTGGTGCCGAAAACCACAAACAGTATCACAGAATTACAGAACTCTACTTTTGAGAGGACAGAGACAAGGAGGAGTACGGAGGGAAAAAATCAGAGAGCAGGCAATTCAGGATAAAGTCTCTAACACTAGCAAGAGAAGGCACATAAGGAGACGACACCAACTATAGCACAGTGCTCTTTAAAAAAAAAAAAA